ATAGAGGTACAAAAACAAAGTACGATAAAAGATTTAAAACTTTGCGTAAAGAAAATGAGTTTGTGGTAAGATGACGTTAGTTGTGCCGATTAAAAAAAATCTCGGGCTGGAAAAAACGACACCTACAATACTTAAGCAACTACAATTACTTTTATTTCTTGCTAGGATCAAACCATTACTCAATGCAGAAGAATAACCTCTTTAACTACGTCAGTCGTATATTCTAAGTACCTACAAGCATAATTACGCTGCCCTTACGTAAGACATTGACCCTTCTTGACCCATAGGTACCCAAGGTATAAGGAAAACCGTTAATACCTACTTTCCTAATTGGAATTCACATCACATTCAAGTGTTTTGGTAACATTTTTTATTATGCTAAGATTTTGTGAAAAATATTTACAAAATGAATCATTGTTGTTTTCAATGTCACTTCCAGTTAATTAGTTTTTATCTTTGGATAATGTCAACATTAGTGTACGATGTGTTTTGAGTATTTGAAGTTGTTGTGAACGAGATAATAATAGGTTTATTTACAGTATAACATGTTAGGAAAAATTTTATCCAATGTCGACTGAAAATATCATGAGGAAACTTGGACTTTTTTTGAGGGGGGAAATCATTCAATTACATCTCTAGCCTAATCGAAATTAAGTTTAAAATCGCCAATCCACCTTGAGAAATCGTAGTGATAAATGCTTATTCCTTCTCCGTATGAGAAAAGACCTTTGCCTAGGGTTTTTTCATGTAATAGGAAGCAAACGAGCAGACGGATCACCTGATGGTGAGCGATCAGCGCCGCCCATGGACACTTTCAACACCAGAGGAGGCGCAAGTGCGTTGCTGACCTTTTAAAAAGGAATTTGCTCTTTTCTTAAAGGTTTGAAGGTCGTATCGGTTTGGAAAGACTGCGGACAATAGATAATTCTACAGTTTGGCTTGTATAAGGTAGAAAGTTCCGGAAAAAGTGTACAGTTGTAAGTTAATTATCGTACTTTTTTAGTATCATGTACACATCTACCAGTTTTGTACATAATTTAACAACTATGTCGTATAGAGGTAAGTAGAAACGAACTGAGAAAGCTTACATTAGACTTTCCTCCTCGATCGTAAATCTAACCACGAAAAGCGCTAGTTGACAGCACCTGGCGATTTCTCATCATCTTTGTGGTAGACATTCTATTGACAGACGATCCGTTACACACATAAATATGTAATATACATTTCTTATCTTGCTTTCATTCATTTCCTCAGGGGAACTGAACTCACAACCAAATTAATTGTAGCACTGAAGTATGTATATGTTGCATGTAACCTAAAATTTGAAATAGTGTGTCCAATTGTTGGAGAACTAACAAACAAATAAATAAATAAACTGAGAATTTATCATAATCTACTAGCTTTTTTTGAGGGGAGGGGGCGATCACCCAATCACTTCTCCCACCCGGGTGAAGCGAGAGAGAGTGTCAGACTTACTGACTAAAAACTACACCGTTCCTACTCCTGCACTTCGAACCGGAGCCCCAGCAACCCGGTAAGCCCTCCGCGGCTCCGTATAATCTACAAGCTTAGCATGCGGACTGAAGGTCGAAGTTTAAAACGTCAGGTTTACTTTAAGGTCAATCAATTAATAGACCCTTAATCAGTTTTTCCGACACCCACAAAAAGAGTCAGGTCAGTGACAAACGTATCTACTCTGCCGCCACACAACATAATATCTTACACAAGCCAAAAATATTTAGGTCAAAAATATACCGTGTCCGTCCCTTCATAACTCCGAAAGCAACTTACATAGGTGATCTAAAATTAACCATTGCACAAGTAAACCACATCCCGCGGGTTTGTTTACAAAATAATCTTGTATAGTAACGGTTGTGGAAAATTGTGTGTTTATTATTAACGTACCAGTGTTAAGGTTAGATTTGGATAAACATACATACTGGCATATAGGTAGGATTGTGTGTATTTTGGTATCATGTTTTGGTATTTCGATGTCTGCGCTTTTAAAGGGGTTTTACAGCATTTCTTTTGGTGTATTCGTCATAAAAAGTATTCAAATTGACAACAACTTTAGAGACTACGAGATTAAAGCAGTCAGTTAAGGTACCTGTGTTGTTTCATTTTTGAACAAGAATTGTCAGGGTCTATAATTACATTTATGCACCTTAACCCTGATAGGCAATATTACACATAAAACGGCAATGGTTAAACATGAAGAGCTGAAGCTCAAACTCATAGGCGTGGTGTTGGAGATATGTTTAGGCAAACAGGAGACGCCATTTAACCACCATACAATCACATCAAATTCTATTTTAACCTTTAATACCTACACTTTAATTGCTTACATTGGCCGACCTTGATCAAGAAATGACGCTTGATCAGTGCGGCAAGTAAACAAACAGCATAATGGGTTTGACGCGTGCTTGTTGATGTAACAATGTTTGTTGACATGGCACTTCTAGAAAATGCTAGAATAATGTTCCGTGTAAAAAGTTATGCCGTGTCGTAATGTGTGTTTCTTGAGCGTTTTTTCTTTTTTTGCGCTTGCTATATACCGCTGGCTTGCTATGTGGCTATTGCCTTATACCGCGGTATTTGGCAATGGACTCACCCCCTATTACATGGGCCTCATACCATAAAAAATAGTGAAATGTAGGTGTTACATGGTACAGTGGCATTGATGCCGTAATGTGCACCTCCGCCTACCCCTTTCGGGGATAAAATGCGTGAGTTATGTTTATTTAATATGTGATCAGTGTTTAGGCAATAGTTTACTCCTTTTTACAATGATTTTAAATCTACCAGCTAATTACCGAAATGTTCCATTTCCATTAAATTAACACTAGAAGTTCAGTTGCAATGCAAGCGAACAGTCAAAACTAGACAATTTTAGAAACTCCCACGTTCGCGTGAGACACATTAAAATTGTCTCAGGTCAGACTAGAACCGTTTGGATATTATAAAAAAAAAGAATATAACTGTTTAAATTGTCAACGTCCGTTTAAAACGGTGTATTTTAAATAGGTTAAGTATATTTAATGTTATGGAGCTGAAGAGTTAGTTATTGTTGTGAACGCTTTTAACTCTGGAACGACTAGGCTGAATTAAAAGAAATGTTTTGTGACTAACAGTTATTCCATTAGTAAGTGTAACGAGAGTAAGACTTTTTTTTTAAGGGGGGAAAATCATCGAATGACCGCTCCCGCCTGGGTGAGGCGGGAGGGATTGTCAGACTCTTACTGACTAAAAACCACCCCGTTCCTTCTCCTACACGTCGAGCCGGAGCCCCGGTCACCCGTTAGGTTCTCCGCGACTCCAAATCACGGTAGCGGAATGGAGGCGGAATTTTCAAAACTCACGAAACCGCAATTTTTTGTTATCCCGCAGCCGCCGTGGCTGCGATTATCGCTCGCAAACTTGGCGATTGATTATCGCAAGATAGGGGGCGGTTAAAACAATCAGTTGAGTTCCAGACCGGCCTCCCATTGCGATCGCCCGCTAATCGATCGTAGAGCTCGCGGGAGCTATTCGCCGCAGCTGAAGGACCGCAGCAGCGTCCGCCGATGCAGCGGTAGCCGCGAGACCCGAACTATCGCAACCGCCGCGGGCATAAAACGCTCCGTTAAAATTGCTTTGATTTTTTACATACATATCTGTATTCCATCAAGGCTGCGGGCCAGCAACCGCGGCGGGCGGGTTTCCGCAGAAGAAAGTAGCTCCGGAGTCTAGCCTCACGATGGCACTTCTATTCTCTTCACAAATGTCAGAAGAGTCGACTAAGGGACTACTCTTTTATGCTGGACCGGAGCTGAGGAAGACCTAGCGGGTTACCGGGGCTCTGGCTCGAAGCAGGAGTAGGAACAGGGTGGTATTTAAACAATAAGAGCCTAACACTCCCTCTCGTCTAACCCAAGGCGGAAGAAGTTTAAACTTTCACCTTCAAAAAAATATCAAATAATAAGGAGACTACACATTTGACAGAGACCGAACAACAGCGATCTCCGCCATTAAACGAAGCCGCAATTTGAGAAACAAACTTTAATATTTTCACCACAAAAGAGTTATAATACCATCCGTAATATTCATGTGGTTGCCATCATGATCATTATGAGCTAAGTAAATGTGAATGTCAATAATTAGTATGCAAACACTAAGCGGGAGTGCGTAACCTAATCATAATTGACGCGGTTGACTGACAGACTGACTGTACCTACTTACAACTGTGTATATTAATTGATTTAAGTTGCAAGAGTCAGTTTTAATAGTCAAGGCGTTAATCTTAGAACGTCGTATAAGAAAATTGTAACCAAATATTAGAAATGCGATAAGTTATGTCTTCACGCTTAAACTGCTGAACCGATTAAGATAAATTATTGTATGGGAATGGTTTAGGACCCTCAACAAGGGTAGGTATAGGATATTTTAGTTTTTATTCCGATGTCAAGTTCCTGTCTGATTTACTTAAACGCGTTGGTGAAAGTTGTGTTATAAGTACGAAGACGTCTATTTTGCACAAAACATCGTCCTATTTTGCACATGCCTGGTAATTTTTGCACACAGTATTGCACACATTAGTTTGTATTAAATATGTTTCGCGCAACTTATTGATGGTAACTAAATGAAGCTAAAAAATTGTCTAAATTGTTAGGAACCCGCTAATCATGAGAATAAGGTGACAAAGAAAATTAATTATGTTTAGATTCCGTTATTGCAAAGTAATGCAATGACAAGTTGTTATGATATTCAGGATGTTAGCTTGTGAAATAAGTGTATTTAGCACATTTTTACAAACGACACAGGTATTAAGTTATCCTACAAACTAATCACTACTAGTCGAGTTCCTCGCCAAATAATTACGTGAGTAAGCCAAAAAACATAATAACTACGTTAAACTTATCTTATTTGTAAGTTCTGATTACAAATACGACCCTATTTTGCACAAACCCGGTCTATTCAGCACAGACATTAATTATTCATATTATTTTAAATAAAACACTTACCAAGCTGTATAGATCCCATAATTTGGGAAGACTGGATCTTCTTGTAGGTGATCTCGCCACCCTCGCCAACGCGACGATGTCCGATCTTTCTGTCCGACTTGTGGACCTTGCTGATCGCCCCTGAGGGGCCCACAGCAGGCTGGAAAGAAGAAAGAAACATAAGTTTATCGATGACAATATTTATTAACACATGTGAAATTTATTGCACAGATTTGCAACTTGCAATGAAGAAATTATAGAGAGAAAGAATTGTCTTATGTAATGCCAATATGCAATTTATAAATTAAGTAATATTCATTCAAATGCCAACATTTTTACGTCCAATGTCTAGTCGTACAATCAGTTCAAAATCAATATCTTCTACACAAAATTGGACATAGTGTAATAAGTACGGATTATTTTTAATTACCAGTATAATGAAGTACCTATAGAAGACAGGCTTAAGTTTACTAATTTTGAGAATAAGATGTCAAAGAAATATTATGATTTGGTAGTGTTATTGCTAACGCACAAGCCACAACTCCAAAAACCGTCCTATCATACTGTTCTATAATGACTAAATCAGGAACCTTGCCGTTAGCAGCCAAATTAGCAACTATTTAACTAATGAGGTAATTTGGAACGACATATTTAATTAATGATCGCCTTATTGATCAAGAGACCACTTAGGTATAAAGATTTAGGCAGAACTGAGGGGTACTTACGCTGATTAAAAAAAAATACTATTAAAAAGGAGTACGAAACTTTGCTCGGCATATGTCAAAAGGCAGAGAGCTTGTTCTTGGAATTCATAACATTATTATTGATTAAAGAAGTATTTTTATAGAAAAGACAAGACTGAAAACAATATGGCTTATGGCTCATTCATATTGCAACTTGCAACGACGGATGCAAATGTGACTTTTCAATGACGGAGAGGAAATTAAAATCTTCTTTGAACAGAAAAACCTATTTAATAGAGGCAAGATTCTATGCTAAGAATTCTAAACATCCGTGAATCAGCGCCATTGCCCTTTTGGGTAAGGAATCACCTTGGTTGAGGCGAGAGGGAGTACCAGACTCTTACTGATTAAACACCACCTCGTTCCTACAACTGCTTTGAGCCGGAGCCCCAATAACCCGCTAGGATGTTCGCACCTCCGTGCTCTGCAATCGCAATTGCCACCAATACCAGCACAGTCAAGAGGAAATTAGTTCTTAAAACTGCCGAAAATAAACTCCAGAGGAAAATAGTTCTTAAAACCATCAAAAAACCTTATTTACAAGAGCTGATTTCCTTTCATGACATTGACAAAAGACAAGAATGCTATAGTATATTTAAACAGGGTCAATAAACTCATAAAAATTAGCATTCAGCCTTCATTAAATAGTAGATTTTGTTATCACTTTTTGGCCTAGAAAAACTGGTTTTTAGTCACTAAAGAGGTTTAGGAGGCAGATAAGAGATGTCTAAACCTATAAAGTAACATTAATAAAGTCTGAATGTAGGCAGTGTTTGTTGACGTCCTTCTTACAGGTCACAATTGGGGGATTTTGTAGTATGATTTTGTATTATGTTAGAAGGAAACTAAGAAATTAATTAAAGAATCATATTAAAATTTCATTATTAGAGAGCTGGGTCACTCCTTTTGTCAGTTAAAAGAGGACTTTACCCACCACCTATGTAGTAGGTACTTAACCAAAAATATGGCCAACGGTGAAGTACGATTACCTTTAAGAAAACTTTGCCTAGGTCTCAGTTATATATTACTTGCTGAGCTACTATTTATGTATCTGCATCTTCATCATCAGTCAAAAGACAGGCGAGATAGAGGTAAAATGTCGGCCCATCAAATATAAAAAAAAATGTACGATTCCAGTTGGATACCTTTACATGTTTGGTTGCTAATTTCTGTTTATCTTCTTTGAGTGGAGAAAAATCACCCAATGACTCCTTTCGCAGTTCGGTGAGGCAGAGGAAGTGTCAGATTCTTACTGACTAAAAACCACCCCGTCCCTATTGCTCCTTCGACACGGTAACGCGTTAAATGATCTGATCTGCTGTTGTTCTAGTACTCAAATTTTCAAACAGGTGAAGTCGCAGGCTACGCATGAATGAATTTACAAAATCGATTCAAGTCAAGAACATTAAAATATTTTGCATAACAAGTATTTTTTAGAACATCCTCCTTTCTAATTAGTATTGAAATGAGTTAAGGATAGAAATTCTATAGGTATTTGTCATAGGTGACCTAAGAATGAGCCGTTTTATTGTCTTTGAACTATCGGAAATTAAAGTAAGCCATACGGTGAATGAAAACATCCAAAGGAATATAGGCGTATATCACACTAATATAATAAATGTGAAATTTCTAAG